TTCGATATCCCTTTTGCTTCTCTCCTGGACAATCCTTCACTTGTATATGTAAACAGCTGATGGTCAGTGCAGGTCAGAGCTTTAAACACGATTTCATCATTTGCGAGGTCGAAACAATTTGAGTTTACTCCTCCAGAATTTTGAAATTTTCAGTTGCACTCGGCTCGCGTTGCTTTAAAATTGAAGCAAGAAGTTATCGAGGCTAACGATACAACGTGTCCCGTTGCGAACGTACAGAACTGCAAATCATTATCTACGTGCATTGTTAAAAAAAAAAAATAAAAAAATTTATCTAGAGCGAAGAAACACGATCGAAGACGATCGAAGAATGAAAACCATTACTCGTAGAACTCTGTAGCATCTCTCAGGCGATAGTTGGGGCAAGTTTTTCATTAACCCGAGGTAAGGGGCGCTCTAGTAGCATCGATAACTGGACACAGTTACGTTATCAAGCCTGATGGTCCGTTGCAAAGCAGGTTGTTGAAAGAAGTGCCGCCTCATAGAACCAGTCGCTTCTTGCGACCGGTTTCTTTTCATTGGCTACGAACCAGCGGCACACAGCGCCGAGGCTCATATATTTTCATTTGACACAGTTCGTCCCGCGATATCAAGTAATGGAAGTTCTTCCGCAATGGGCTTTCTAGCACATCTACCTAAACGATGTCGCTGGAGGGCCAACAACAAGCCAGCGATCCTGGAACATTCATTGAAAATGACAGCTATACAGTACATGCGTCCCACCGGGATTTCTCACAGTGTATTGGTGGAAAACAATGCGCGCCTTTTTTTTTTTTTTTTTTTTTTAGAAATGTTGCTCCCTCACTGCACTGGCGATTTCAATGACAAAAATACCAGGGATCCGATATATTCCGGATAAAAATAAAACGAACACCAAAAACCGGTGCTTAAATATTTATACACGTTGTGTAATTTATACCATGTAAATGTTATTTAACGCGTGGCATTTTATCGCGTAGCGTCGTTCGTTTATCGGTAACTTGCGTGATCTTATTTTGTTAGTAATATAAATATGACGATCTTGATATTTTTTCGTCGAAGAGTGAAGTTTGAAAAATTGTACAACTCGACTAAGAATTTAAGCAACAGCTCAATTATACAATATTTAGCATCTGGCAATTGTGTAATCAAGGTTGCAACGTTCCAAATTTCATAACATTAAAAAAAAAAAAAAAAAGTCTATCCAAGTCCAAAATGGCAGAGCGTCGACGTGAAATAAAAACAAATGGAATCGATAGTTCAAGTTTCGAATATCGTTCAATCTGCAATCTGCACAAGAGCAAAACGTCTGGCGGTACGTGCCAGCGGCATCCTCTCGTTTCGCCGTGCTCGCGTTTCCTCCGTGTTTCTCGTGACCCTGAGGTTTGCCCGGCTGCTGTCGCCGCTCGACGAGATACGAAATTTTACGAGGGAACGTCCGCGTGCACGTCCCGTTTCCGCCGTGAGAGCCAGGAGTTGCGTTGCCGGATGACGTCGTGGCACGATTCACCCGTCGCGATAAGGATACGCGCGTCCTGACCGCACGTCCTGTTCCGCGGCGCGTGTTTACCTTGTTACGTACGAGCGTTGATGCTCTCCGCGAGACATCATTCCCACTGCTACGTGCATCGTCCGCCCGCTCGGCTGCGGATGGAAATTGGGAGAGATGAAAATTACACCCGAGTTTTCCACCGATATCTTTCCTCGCGTGCATTAGCCGCTCTGCTTTCCCTCCCTTCCTCGTCCCCTTCCTCGCCATCTCCATTTTCGCCCTGACAAATCATCCTCCCCCGCTTTGTCGCGTTCCCTCTCTTTCACTCCCGGGAATTTCATTTGCCCCGGCGAACGGAACGGATTGGATGTTCTCTTCCGCCGCAGATAAATGGTTCTTAATGCGTCACTTTCCGCGTTCGCCGACCGGTCGCACGGTGAATTGAAAAAATGGGACTGTCCTCGACGAGGCTTAATTAAAGTCTGATTAAAACGTCTATTCGCCTTGTAAAGCGATCCATCCTTGGGGAAGAATTGGCGAATAATTGTCGAGCTCGGCCCTTGGCTGGCGAGATTCCTCTCGTAAACGGAATATTTTAGGCAATTAGCCGGGATCACGATTGCAAGTAGGACAGAACAGTGGTTTCGACTACCAATGAATTGTGGATATTTATTCACTTTCAAATAGTTTTGTGAACGTTGTAAACTATTACTTTTTGTAAAATATTACTTGCGTGAAAATCTGCAGTCTTGCGAGTGTGAATGTCGTCGAGCTCGAGATTCGGAGTGTCTAACTTTTTGTAATCACCGTTGTGCTTTAGTTTCCGAGATGTTTGCAAAAAAACGTAGACTAGATTCAGGTTAGGATTAGGCTACATTGTGACGCTGGCGCTTCATTTTTTTTTCTTTTTCTTTTTTACGGCGCAACCTAAATTTAACTCGTTGATGACGATTAATTTTGACGCAAGTAATCGATTGAACGTGGCCCTTTTCAGAAAAGTACATATACTCTGGAAAAATCCTACAATGTGTATAATATATTATATATAAACACATTCAAATTTGGATATGTAGCGGCCTAGAGTCCCTCGAGTACGAGTTTCGAACACCCACTCGTACAAGCCGCAAGTGGCTGTGCGCCTAGCGTCGAAGTCAAACCGATATTCGATGTTAAGCAAACAGAGTGCGGAACACCGCTAGGATGGGGTGGACCGGTCCAGCCTTAGCGGAGTAGTTAGAAAAACAAGCGTCTGGGGTAATAAAGGGGTCGCTGCCATCAGCCCCACTGATGATGAGTCTAGGCAGCGACTCTGAGACGAAACGCGCATATCCTCACCTTTACCCATCAATCACATCAATTCTTTCCTCATCCTCGCATCGTCATAAACACTTCTTCAGCCCTTCAGATATATTTATAAAAATTTTGTACGACAAGCATTCGAATACTTTCGTGAACAACTTTCCGCATTTAAACCACACTGAAATCCATTTGCGATCGTTCAAAATCTTAGCGTTGACAACATATTCGGAGATCATCTAAATGAACGAAATGTACTTTATTCTCAAACAATTGCCGCGACGGAAACCTCGAAGTACAAAAGGGTGTTAATTTTCCAAGAGGTAGCGTTGAACGAAGTTGCGAAGGAAGGTGGAGGTAACGAAGCACGGTTTCGCATTGTCGCCTCTTCTTGAATTAAAGACAGCTTTAGGAAGAGTGTCCCCGATAACAGGTGGAAATTTCGCTGGTTCGCTTTTACCGGCTAATTACAATTACATCGTTGTTCAAAGTGGCGATCCTTTCGCAGAAAACCTTTGACAATTATTTTACTTAATGCGTGATATCATCTGTGAAATCGTTTCCTGATGAAGCACGCGCTTCCTATCGAGTTTAAATGTAACGATAACGATAATTAATGTTTGCAGAGGTGCAATTCCAACGATCGCGTAATAGGCAGAGAATTTGCGCAAAGTGTACGCGTTTAATGCATCGAAGAAGCATTTAAGGACAGATGCTTTGCGCGCTTTGAACGAATCATTTCACGCATAACAGTCGATTTCCTGCTACGATACGCTTTATCGGCGTGGAAAATTGGTTTCGTTACCTCTTGTCTTCTGTTCGATTGAAATGCTAAATTCGTAATATAATTACTAGATCGAAGATACATAGAACTATTATTTCTTTCGGCGACCTCCTTTTCGGATAATATATTCGATTTGCGTAATGTTGTCAGTTTATTTATTTAAAAATACATTTATTTTCCTCTACTTGCAATGAATTGAAAATATTCGACATCTTTTGTCAATATTTTAATACGTTCAGACAGATCTAAATATAAGTGATGTAAAATAATACATCTGCGAAAAGAAAATTCAAACGTTCAAATGGAAGTTTTGAAGTTAAGTTTGGAACAACTTATCTACATTCGGATATATCTGTATTAACCCGCGGCCCGAATTTTGTACTCCTCTGTGTTTGGAAAAAGAAAACTGTCCTTCTTCATTACTAATAATATCTCTTGAAAGTTAAAACTCATTTAGAATTCATTTAATTTTACTTGAACCACGTAATCGTGAGAAATAGAACGAGAAATAAAAAAATTTAAAGGTTCAATGACGCACAGAATGCAAACAGCGTTCCAGAATATTTGAAATACCCTGGACGAAGTATGCGAATCAATTTTTAATGAACGAGCTGCACGGCTTATAAAAATAGGAATCTACATAAAAATCCGCTGTCTGAAAGAAAAAAACTGTCTACGTGTATTATTTTAGTGTTTGCAAACTTTCTTACGTTTCTGGCCAGTACCAGATAAAGGGAACAATATAGCAATAAATTTCTGTTCCAACCAAATTTTGCCAAAAGTAAAAACTTCGTAGTTCTTATATAACTATAATATTAACAAATTCGAGACTTGTCACTTTCGTCAAATATGATGCATCTTTCAACACAAGAAACTTGTTTTGCCTGCTATCTACTGTAACTATCACATTGTATGTTAAAAAATATTCTAAATACTCTACAAAATTACTCTGAGTATCGACATGATAATATCCCATGGTAGCCTAAATATTCCAATTATTATATTATTCATGTTATTTCCAACAAAGAGCTGAGAGAAAAAGAGAAAACCGGGACAATCGCGACGCGACGTATCGAAGGGAGTAGTCATCGCAGGCCTCGTCAAGTATATCTTGACGCGTGTATATTAGGGAGAGTCGGCCGGCAGATCTGACTTTCAGATCTTCTCCGGTCGAGGGGAGGCAGCAAACGCGAAGGGGTTAATCGCCCCGCTATAAATTACCAGGCTTGATGCATTGCTACGTGGTTGGTTGGTCGACTGAGCTGCACGCTGGTCTTTGATATATGCATATATGCCTTCCATGCACACACGGGCCGAATTGCACACACGTACGTACACTCGGCACGCGTGACCATGTAAGATGTGTTCCGCGCGTCTACGTGTCTCTCTATTCTGATGCAAGCTTAGGTGCAAGGTTGACCGACATCTTACGTTATATATGCACTCCGCTACGCGAATATGTGTGACCACACGTCATTGGATTAGGCCATTCTTGCGTCCATTCCGTCGTTAATCCCGTTCTTATATGGAGCGACGCGTGCGAGGCTGAAACAACACGATAAGAACACTCTTAGAAAGAGGAAATTGTAAAATTCTAAACACGTTGCGTCGATTTTATTTGAGTTTTATAGCTGAATATAGGGTTTCGTATTCTTTAATGTTTCCAAAGTATTGAAATATCGGAGATATTAAAATGTAACTTCTCGCGATGATGGTTTGTCTTTCATAAAAACTTGGTTAAGTTATTATTTATTTTTAAAAGACTCACGTCTTTAAACATAATAAAGTTCATTCTCTTGTTATATTCTCAATATAACTTAAATCAAGAAATTAAGAAATCAAGAAGATTCGTTTATTAACATTATTTAATCAAATCATTAATATTATTAAACCATCATAAAATCCTTTTAATGCCAAAATTAAATGTATTTCTTTGATTCTCGTATCGATTGTGAAATAAATTGCATTTTAACCTCAATTTGAACAATATTTATATAATACGAACTCGGGACAAGTGTCTCGTTCGCCGATCCACCGTCTTCTTCCTTTGTCAAAGAAAACTACATAAATATTTCATCGCATTTTCTTAAACACATGCACATTTCACTCGAATTAAAATTCGCCTCTGCAACGATGCAATAAGTCTCTACGAAATAATTCTTCTCCCTGTTTCCTCGATTCCATTCTCCGTTCCGAGCTCATCAGACTCTATGTGTTTGCCGCTGTTGCTCTACAGGAAGCTATTTCGACCTTACACATACCGCCGCATTTTTCCACAGGGCTCTGACGGCTGCGCGGCTCTGTGGGAAGCTCGAAATTTCGCGGCCGCGCCGCGTTAACTACAAAATTATTCAGAAAACTCGATACGATCTCGCCGGGCGTGTACCACCGTAAGATTGCATTCCGAACAGTGGGTGCGTGATGCAGGTGAATCTACGATTGCTTTTGCACGGAGACCGGGGAAACTCGATGTCTCCCTCGGCGCTTTCGCTGTATTACAGGAAGCAATTATGACTGCATGTACTTTCCGGTCGTAGATAACGACGATTCGCTCGTAACGTGAAGAATGGCTGCCGTCTTTGGCCATTTAAGCCCGAAGTCAGCGTAGCGTCGAGCGTTTCAGTTTCTGACAAACAATATTACCTTGCGATTCGAACAGAATTCTTTCTGTCAATTTCTAACTGCTGATTCGAAATTTTCCTTTATTCTATACACTTTCGTTATATCGTGCGATATATAATTTGTATTGTATATATCTACGTCTTGTATTACATAATTTCTTCTCTGACGAGAAGATTTTTAAGCCAGAGTGAAGATAATAATTTCGGATTCTACGACTCAATTTTAAGGTGCTTAAAATCATCTCGGGGTTGAAGTGTACAAAGTAGAGAAGTGACCTCTTTCTTAATCCCCTTTGACAGTGTGATAAAACTCGGGGCACAAACTATTTCGAAATTTCGTTGTTCCCGCAAAGTTTAAAAGTCCCTCCGTTTTTACGGAGCTCGTGCCACAAACATTCGACCGGAAGCGTATATATGTACTGAGCAGTACTTAATAATTGCCTCAAATTTATGTTTTACTTTGATTACCACGAGGCAAAGCGTTCTCCTCAGCTTTGTTTCAATATTATCTCGGAGGCGCAGCACCGTGTTTACCGTAAGTACACCCGTCATCGCGTTATCTCCTCTGACTCCTCCCTTTTACCATATTTTTCCACTGCAGATCTTAATCCAGATTTCTGTCTGGCCGGTTTTTGTTTATAATTAACGTAACGAGTAAACTTTTCGTGCAATGTCCCTCCTCCACTCACCAGAAAGCAAACTAATCGCCATTAACATCGTAACATATCTCTCTCTCTCTCTCTCTCTGTTTTTCTCTAGTTCAAAGAATTTCATTCTCACGGCAAATTAAAATCCAACCGCGATTTGCAATCGGCTCTTGACACGCTGCAGATCTCGGTGAAACATCGATCGGGAGAACGAGAGTCGTCTCTCCTCCTTGCGAAATTTCCTCGCGAAATTAACTGCTTATTTCAGCCACGATCCTTCGTAAAGATTGCATTTAGATAACTAATAGGAGCGGAGTAATTTTTACGACGCTGCTCTGGGTATCTCGTCGGCGCGATCTACGTCGTTAACGCGATCCACGAATCGGTAAAAACTTGGAGTGTAGGGAAGGGGGTCGTTCGTTGTTCGCGTTCGTGTAGCTTGGCCAGACTCTCGAAAGCTGCGGTGAAATGCTTGAAAACGCGTGAATCGCCGTATAACGAGGCATGATATCTGTTCCGTCGAATGAATTCTCCTAACCGAAAGACTCCTGACGTATCGCGTGACACGTGTGCACGGTGCTTGGCTCGCCGTGTCTTTTTGCCCCGTGCTCCGGCTCTGTCGCGTTTTCCTGGGACTCGTCCAACGTTTATTCCTCGGCAAACGAGGCGAAAATATTATTCTCTGACCTGTGCTTAGCTGCCCGAACAGATGGTAAATGAAATTTTTGTGCAATGACACGCAATTCGACGTTTTACGGACCTAATTAAATTATTACACGAATGCATTTTGCAGCCTGTGCGTGGCCGTTTGATTTGAATAAACGAATCGCAGATAAACCCGAAGGCGTTTAATAAATTTTAGCAGATGACACGTTGATAATGGAGAGAGAACTGTACGATATTTAATTTAACAATTTATCCGTCCTTTGGCGCGCGAAATAGAAAATTATCGCTTTATGAAAATTATCGGCGCGCTGTGCTACGCGGCAGCCTTTTCATTAATTACGTCGCTTTAATACGTTCGCGTTTGTTACGCACGCTCTCACGGTTAGAAACACCATGGAAAATACGCCCGTTCTCGAACGACGGGACGTGACGGACGAATCCCGTCGACGTGCATGCAGCAGTTTCCGAGCGATGACGCTTCAACCGGTTCTAAATTTCCGCGAAAGAACGCTGTGCTCCCATAAAAATATATTCCATTCCAAAGCCCCTTCCCCTTCCTCACTCCCCCTACCCCCCGTCTAAACAGCACTGAATCCTGCTAACTTCTCGTTTGCACAGCTATTCATGAAATGCTCTCGCCTCTGCATTTTTTACACTTGGCGTCTCTGTACGCTATTTACACGTTTTTTACGCTTTGTAAACCGGGCGCGATCCTGCAGCCCCCAGACTGTCTGAAACGTCAGATTCCAACGTGCTCGACCTCTCTTCGGGCTAGACACCGCGTGCGCGCGCTTTCGTAAACGTTTCTACAAATTATTTGCTCGTACTGATGGCATTTTAAATTTACCAGACGAGTTAAAAGCGGAATTTCTTTGAAAAACTTCCCGTCGCTTTGAGTCTGCGACAAATTGAAATACAGCGGACTGTTGATTGTTCGGTCTTGCTTTAATCGATCGAGTCCGTTTTCAACTTTTCTACTGTGATTATTGTTTTTCTTTAATTATTTAATGGTTTTTCTTTCCTTTTTTTTTTTTTNTTTTTTTTGGAGTTCAAACGATGTTTCAGAGGTTTGTAATTTTATAAAATCCGAATTAAAAGCTTAAGATTTTACTGTAACGTTAATCTCTGCATATGTTTTAGTCATATTGCCATAATGACAGACAAGTTCATACACACTTGAAATACAAATGTACAGAAATACTTTAGGCAAGAAATATCGCTATTAATATTAAAAATATAGCGATATTGAAATATCTGTGTATTTCGCACATAGAATATTTGTTAAATTCACTAATGTTGATAAAAATATGTCAAGTGTAATCAAAAATTGTATGGTATATTACGTTTATAAAAATATATTTTCATACATACCAACATCATAGAGACAAAAGCCTTGCAAAATTTTATGTGTAATATTTTTATTGTTAATTCAAATCAAAAGATTTGAATTCATCTTTAATCAAAAGAAAAGAAAAAAAGATCAATGAAAAAAGTTTCGTGCCAAGCTCAGTTCTCGAGTTACGAATAATTTTAATTCGGCAAGTGGTGCAAGTCGACGAATCAGCTGACGCGGCCCGAGCTGAAACAAATGACGCAGAACGCGGATAGAATTTCGACTGGTACGCGAGAGTGGGAGATAATAAAATGTAAGTGAGATAGAGAGAAGGTTCGCCGGCTGATATATATTTCCGGATTAACCGGCCATTCGTTTGTCCGGTCAGAGGTCTGGTCCCGTAAAGGACCGGTTAAACGGGAGTTTACTCGTGAAAGAAAAACGAAGAGAGAACGTAAGCTGTCGATTCTACAAACGCTCGAGAGAAAATATAATATCGGGAAAATGAGAGAGAGAGAGGAGAGGAGGCGGGAGAGAGGGAAACTGAAACGTCTAGGAACAAGGTCGAAACTTGTCCGGTCTGTCATCCGTCAAATCCCATTTTCAATGTCCAGAAGCTTCACGATTCGAATCCGTATTCACCGGATTTCTATATAACTTCGAGGCATACTCGAGGCATGGAAAACGATATAGCCGACGAACACACGGACACAAGCCCAAAGGGCCGGGATACGCCGGCTGTGAGGGGACCGCCCACACGAACGCGAATTTCCATCTGGACGATTCAATTTCTCGACGCGTCTGCTCGCGCCCCGGGAAAAAGGAAATCTCGTCTCGCGGACATGGTTCTACGGCCGCGAGTCCTTGGGAATCGAACAGCACGTTCGACACGCGATAACTTTAGAGAAAATGTGGTCTCCGAGACGAGAGACAGAGAGAGAGAGAGAGAGAGAGAGAGAGTGAAAGAGAAAAAAAGAGGCTCGAGCCGTTAGTCGCTTTTATGCGAGAAAATTGAAACGTTAAGATGCCTGTGAAAATTCACTGTAAGAGAATGCAATTCCAGCGCTCCACTTCTCCGAATATCAAACCGGTTCCTTTATCCATCCCGTATCCGCCTTTGTGAACGTCCCTGCTTCTTTTATTAATTTTTAACCGCGTACGTTGCGCGTAACAAAGAGATCCGGAGAGCCTCGGATCGGATACGACGATCCATTGTCGAGTTGCCGTTCCGTGCCAGCCGATACATTTTTCGCCGGCTGTCGATAGGTCGAGAGGACG